CCCGCCAGCTGGTTATTCCGCTAGTGCTCTGCCGCAGGAAGCGCACGGGGCTTCGTGCGCGGTAGTTCCCCGTCTTTTTTGTACTGCGGACTAGCAAACCCAGTCACAATTTTTTGGCGAACTGGTAACATTTTATTTGCATAGTATGCAAATAATTGATATCAAATATGCAAATGAAACGTTGCCAGGCCACCAAAAGCCCTGGCCCCCATAGCCACTATGAACAGCTGCCTTCAGTTCTGACACTCGCCACATGCAGCTATGGGGGGGCTGCCCCCTGGTGCGCAAGTGTCCCCGCCCCCTGGTGCCTATCGGGCGAATGGCCACGCCCCCTGGCGCCCGACAACCTCAAAAGGTTGGGGACCACTGCCCTAGAGTCTCCTACACCCAACTCCCCCAGTGCCAGCTTCCCACCCTCAGAGCTCCCCAGTACCAGCCCCCCCCCATCCCAAACACCTCAGTGCTAGGCCCCTACCCCTTAGAGCCCACCACCACCAGACCCACCCAGTGCCAGCCTCTTGTGTCCCAAGCCCCACTGCATCCACCTCCCTTAGAATAGTGCCAGCCCCACTGGACCCACCCCCAGAGCTCCCCAGAACTAGCCCTGCCTCTGGAGCCACCAGTGCCTGCCCCCCCACAGCCGCCAGCTAAGTGCTAATGCCCAGTCATGGCTGCTCTAAGGCTGCTGTGCTGGGCTCCACGCAGCCCCACTGTGTAGTGGACCAATTTTCTGGGTCTGGGAGGAGACCACACCCATGCCCAGCTCTGGTTGGCTGAGAGGTGGGGCAGGACACACCTCTCCCAACAGCTGTGGTAGAAGGCATTGGGCCATGCCCCCAGTGCTGCCGTCGCCCAGCAACCAGCAGTTCGGAACTGCTATGTTAAAGTATACCCAATTAACCATTTAACCAATAAGTAGATGCTTATCAGTTAATGGTATCCTTCACACTCAGCCAGCTCTCAGGGAGCTGGGCAGGCAAGGAGTGGCAGCCCTCATCCTGGGGACACGTCACTGTGGGTTCTGCTGTATGGAGCTAAGCTTCATATTGCAGAGGGGACAGCAGTTTTTAGCAGTTACACTGTTAACCTATTACACAATTTTTAACATCCCTAGTTTGCAGCAGTAGGCATGTCTTCAATAATAAGTTAACTTAGAAATATCCTCTCTTTACTTTCTGTACTATTGAAATTAAGACAATGGCCTCTGTGTTAGCTGCAATGGCACTGTTGATTGCTCATTTATCCATTTTTAAAAATAAGTATTATTATGCTATTTCCTACACCACTTCTTATTCATGAAAGGCGCTTTCTGTAAAAAAAAAAAAAAAAAAAAAAAAACTGCAAAGGACTTAAAAACTCTTTGAAAACTTTCCTTCTCTGTCCTAATGCATATGAAAAAACACTTAGTAGTTCGGCACTATGCTGAGACTAGTGCTCATGCTAGCTGTTTCACTGTTACCTCACTCTCCGATGTCTGTCATGTTGTCGCTCTTAAAATTAGACATTTTTTGACAGGGACTGTTTTTTTGCTATATGTTTGTGCAACAGATAGCACAGTGGAACTCTGGTCATTAGGTGCAACTGCATTACAAAAATTAACTTATTAAATAAATATTTTTTGCTGTATAGTCTAGTGATTAGAGTGGAAGTTGGGACTTCCACATTTTATTGCTGGTCCACATGTAAAATAAACCAGCTTCTAAAATATTAAAAATGTCTTTTTCTGCTCTTTGTCTTATAGCTTATCGTTATTTAGGAAAAGGTTATTATTGGGAAATGGCAGAAGCAGTTTTCCATGCCCCAAAAAGGAAAAGAAGAGTGTTTGAGTCATATGATTCTCCATTCCCTATTCCTGCCTCTCTGGAAGACATCTGTGGGAAAGATTTCAAGATATGCCAGGCAGAAATTATTAACAATAATGTAATTGTAAGGAACCCTGAAGACATAGAACAGTTGTATAGCAAGGTGACACTCTATTTTTTTAATTCTATATTTTCAATGTATGCTATTTGTGATGTCACTAACATTCTCTGTACAATGCATTCTCTAGTGAGAATTTTAGAAAATATTTTACTCCCAACATGAAAAAATATATTTTAGAGTAAAATGATAGCACAGTATCAGAAGTCTTAAAACTAGCAATACATATAATTCTTTATGCCTAATTCCCAATGATAATGTCAATAATAAGGTATAAATTGTAAGGTCAATAGGCTTTATAATCTGCTAGATTTTTTTAATCTTCAGGATTTGACTGAATATCATACAGGGAGTTGCTTGTTCTTGGAATCTCACTTAATCAAAATTGTATATTTTAAAAATTAATACCATCTTGATTTTAAAAAAACTATTGAAATTTTTGCTTGTGCAAATATATAGGATTAGTAAACAATTTTAATCTCAAACTCTACATTTCCAATGTTGGATTAGATGTTAAGTAAGAAACCTTGGATTAGTCAAGAAATTTAAGATGGTACACAATGCAGCGGCCAAACCATTAAGTGACTCCATCTATTACTGATAATCCGTAATACAGTGTGAATACCTGTAGTTTCTGAATTGAATTCAAGGTGCTGGATTTGATTCATAAATCCACAAATCATTTGGCACTTCACTAGTTGAAAGATTGCTTCTGTATTTGTGTCATGCTATCACAGATAAAATTGCCAATGGCACCCAAGATGGCTAGCTCTTAATTTAAAAGAGAGAGGGCTTGTGGTAGGGTTCCTTCACAGGAGAGACACTAAGATTTGCACCAGGTTCTATTGACCTTCGCAGCATACTGCAAGATAGCTATTTACATGGGCTGCTGCACAAGTGGACCTTTGAGAGAATTCATCTGTTTTTAGATGGATGAGTTTGGTGCTCTGTGGTTGGTCTAATTTTGTTTCTGTAATTTTATGTTAGGGGCTCGTATATACTTGGGAAGATATCCCTTTTTATCTTTTGTATTAATAATTCTGTTCAACTTTTTTTTCCTACACCTGAAGGGCTATTTTGGAAAAGGTATTCTTTCAAGAAGCAGACCAGAATACAATATTTCAGACCCTTTATTGGCTGCTAAGTGGCAAGGTAAGTCATACTGTATTACTTTCCGCTTTTTTGACAGTTTTAGTTCTGTCCACTTGGTTTGTCCTCATTAATTGCAGATATGTGCATGTATATCATTGCACTATCAAAATGCTTAAGTAAAACTTCCTCTTTTAATGCAGATGCCAAGATAAACATGCCCATACTCTCCTCAAAAAAGTAAGTGCAACTTTCTTTCTTGGGATACAGTTTGTACTGTAACAGTTCATGTTTTAGCCCAACAATGAACTATAAGTGTTAATTGTGTGGTAATCAAGTACAGTAAGTTTACCTATTTAATTTGGTGATGGAAGATATAATATGGCAGTAATATTATTTATGCTGATCAAAATTTTTAACAATTTAAACCCCATATGTAGTAAATGGCCTTGGATGATTCAGTGTTTTCCTTTAGAAGAGATTTTCATGTTAATCTGCATAACTTGTTTTCATTTTAACTGTTCTTACAGTGTATTTTTCTACTTAATTGCTATTTCTAAATTTCAGTTGGGAAGTAAAATATACTATACTAGCAGTGTTAAAGTTTTAAAACTATATAGCTGACTGTAATTTTATTTATAATTATGACAGTACTTTGGGACTTTTGTCTTAAATTAGGTATAAGAAGAAATGACATTTGAACGGACTGTCTGTTTAAAAATTACACTTCTCTCTGAAAATTCCATGCCTGCTGTAGCATCTATAATTATAACTGAAAAAGATTAGAATTAACACCACTTTATACTTAATTTGACTATTCCTCTAATAGTCAGTCAATTTCTTCCTACTTGTACACATCTCTTACTCAGCAACAACAGGAGAGAGAGAGAGGGAGTGTTAAAAATAAGAAACTATAATTGCAAAGTCACATAATTGGCAGAGGCATACGTGTAGCTGCAGTGCCTGAAATTACTTCAATTTTTTAAAAATAGATTTCAAGTTGATGATGTCTTTTTAGTTTGTTAAAGATTAGTAAGCTTTATAATTCCTAAATATATATGTGTCCTGTGTTCACTTTTGTATCCTACACCTTGAATTTGTATTTGCACTGGTTATCTTTAATCAAGATATTTGAAAATTTTAAATAGTTGTCTTTAATGTTTGGTAGGAGTGTTAAAAGGAAAAAAACAAACAGAAATCCCACTCCTGTGGTGCTAAAAAACTGGATCTGGGATTTTTCCTACAGTTTGTGGCAGGGGGCAGGAGTGTTTTATATTAACTTGAAGTGTCTTTAGTTTTCCACAAAAACAACAGTTCTAAACCATCTAAATAAAAATCCTATATCCTTTCATCATATATTTCCTCCTTGATATCTGTGATGTAATAATCATGCCAGTTTTCCATTTTGCAGTAGTGACTTCCATGATAGACAAAAACTGAGTGTCTAATGTAAGAGAAAAAGCAGAAATGCATTTTATTTTGGGGGAATGAGGTGGAACAGGGAGATTTTCAGTGATACAGAGAAGGAGCCAATATTTTTTGCCATTTGCACTTTAAAGCTTGCTTATTTGGTAGACCTTGTTAAAGTATCTTAGAATTATCAAATTATTATGATTTTACAGTTTGAAATCTGAAGTGCGCCACAGATAGAGATATAAGTGTGTAAAGTTAAAAACATTTCCTAAATGAGTTAAATACTTTGCTGATCTTACTTTTGTTCCCAGGTTTCTGTTGATGGCCTGTTCAAATCACATTTACAAGACAGCTCTTCTTAAACCATAAACTGTTTACACTAGTATCCATTTGCTTTAGAATGATCTTTCCAAGGACATTTCTGAGCTGGTTGGGTCCCAATGTATTCAAGGCACTGAAGCACCCTCAGATATTTGTGTGTTGATTTGAAACTGAAATTCTGCAAAGATTTGGAGCCTCTGTTTGTAGCTGAGAACTACTTCTGGACATATTTTGGCATTGGTCTTCAGTGTTCTATCGCCAGCTGCTTAAATCAACATCTTTAAATTATGTTTTTAGTTTCCAGTGTAACATATGAAGAATGTGAACACTGTTTAAAGTCTTCACTGTAGTAATTGGTATTCATATAGGGCCTGATCTTGAAGACCTTTCATAGGCAATACTGCTTTTTAAGATTTGATGGAGTACTGCACAATTGGGTCTTTAATCTTAATAATGTACTTGGCTTTCATACAGCAGCAATTAGGGAAGTGAATTCTCTTCAGACTCCTTTTGTTCCTGATCCTCAGCTGATATAAATCAGTTTGGCTTCATAAAGTAAGTGGACCTTCATTGGTTTACATCACCTGAGGAGATGTCCCTAAATCAGAGGTGGGCAATAATTTTTGATGGGGGGGCCACTCCAAGAATTTGGAAAGTGGTCAAAGGCTGCACTCTTCCGTATTAATGGAAGAGGTGCAGGATCTGAGATGGAGGTCGGGTTCAGAAGGAAGCTTGCTGTAAGGGATTGAGGTGCAGAAGAGAGTGTGGGGTCTGTGAGAGAGATAGGGTGAAGGAGGCAGTTGTGACCTGGTTTAGGAGCCTGGATTGCAGGAGCTTGGATTTTGACCTTAGTCAAGAGACTAGGATGTAGAAGGATGTGGAGGGGTTTGGGCTGTGATCCTAAGGCAGGAGGGGGTTGTGACTTGGGGCAAGGGATGGGTGCAGGGGTTTGGGTTGCAACCTGGGGCCAGGAATATGGGTGCAGGATCGGGGAGGGGATATGGGTATAGGAGAAGGGGGAAAGGATTTGGGTTATGACCTGGGGCATGGGTTTGTGGGGGGCAAGGAGTCTGCCCGAGACTCCCTGCTGTGTCTGCGGGCCAGATTCAGCAGTTTGGCAGGCCGGATCCAACCCAGGGAGAGTATTTTCATAGAATCCTAGGACTGGAAGGGACCTCAAGAGGTCATCGAGTCCAGCCCCCCGCCCTCAAGGCAGGACCAAGCTCCGTCTACACCATCCCTGACAAATGTCTATCTAACCTGTTCTTAAATATCTCCAGAGAGGGAGATTCCACCACCTCCCTTGGCAATTTATTCCAATATTTGACCACCCTGACAGTTAGGAATTTTTTCCTAATGTCCAATCTAAACCTCCCCTGCTGCACTTTAAGCCCATTACTCCTTGTCCTGTCCTCAGAAACCAAGAGGAACAAATTTTCACCTTCCTCCTTGTGACACCCTTTTAGATATTTGAAAACCACTATCATGTCCCCCCTTAATCTTCTTTTTTCCAAACTAAACAAGCCCAGTTCATGAAGCCTGGCTTCATAGGCTTCTCTAGACCTTTAATCATTCTTGTCACTCTTCTCTGTACCCTTTCCAATTTCTCCACATCTTTCTTGAAATGTGGCGCCCAGAACTGGACACAGTACTCCAGCTGAGGCCTAACTAGTGCAGAGTAGAGCGGCAGAATGACTTCACGAGTTTTGCTTACAACACACCTGTTGATACAACCTAGAATCATATTTGCTTTTTTTGCAACAGCATCACACTGTTGACTCATATTCAACTTGTGGTCCACTATGACCCCTAGATCCCTTTCCGCCATGCTCCTTCCTAGACAGTCGCTTCCCATCTTGTATGTATGGAACTGATTGTTCCTTCCTAAGTGGAGCACTCTGCATTTCTCCTTATTAAACCTCATCCTGTTTACCTCTGACCATTTCTCTAACTTGCTAAGGTCATTTTGAATTATGTCCCTATCCTCCAAAGAAGTTGCAACCCCACCCAGTTTGGTATCATCCGCAAACTTAATAAGCGTACTCTCTATCCCAATATCTACATCATTGATGAAGATATTGAACAGTACGGGTCCCAAAACAGACCCTTGAGGAACTCCACTTGTTATCCCTTTCCAGCAGGATTTAGAACCGTTAACAACAACTCTCTGACTACGGTTATCCAGCCAATTATGCACCCACCTTATCGTGGCCCTATCTAAGTTATATTTGCCTAGTTTATCAATAAGAATATCATGCGAGACCGTATCAAATGCCTTACTAAAGTCTAGGTAAATGACATCCACCGCTTCTCCCTTATCCACAAGGCTCGTTATCCTATCAAAGAAAGCTATCAGATTAGTTTGGCATGACTTGTTCTTCACAAACCCATGCTGACTATTCCCTATTAGGCCTGCCCTAAATCTTATCTCGTGGTCAGCTTGTTTAATTAACTTTCAGTGGATTTAAACCCACTTATACTTGGACTGAGACGCTGTTCAGTCTTTTCCTTTAAATACATCTAGGCTATGTCTAGACTGGCATGATTTTCTGCAAATGCTTTTAACGGAAAACATTTCCGTTAAAAGCATTTGCGGAAAAGAGTGTCTAGATTGGCACGGACACTTTTCCGCAAAAGCACTTTTTGCAGAAAAGCGTCCATGCCAATCTAGATGCGCTTTTCTGCATAAAAGCCCCGATCGCCATTTTCACGATCGGAGCTTTTTTGCGGAAAACAAATCCGAGCTATCTACATTGGCCCTTTTGTGCAAAAGCTTTGCGCAAAAGGACTTTTGCCCGAACGGGAGCAGCATAGTATTTCCGCAAGAAGCACTGATTTCAGACAGTAGGAAGTCAGTGTTCTTGTGGAAATTTAATCGGCCAGTGTAGACAGCTGGCAAGTTTTTCCGCAAAAGCAGCTGTTTTTGTGGAAAAACTTGCCAGTCTAGACACAGCCCTAGAATTTGTCATTTTTAAAAGGTGAATTAATCCAGTCTGAATTTTTGTAGGCTTCATGTTTAGGTAAGTTAGTGTTATTTAGCTGCTGATTAAGTGCCATCTGCAATGCACTCAGTCCTCACTATAATACTCTCTTTGGGATCTCAGCAGGTAGCTACAACTAAATATGTAATTATTTTTAAAATATGTAGTAAGCTTAAGTTACAGTGATTTTAAACTGTTTTTCTACAATATCAGAGCACTTTAGCATACCAAACAGTCTTATACATTGATTACACTCCATTTTAATTAGTGTTGAATCAGTTTTAAAAATACAGTTTAAATTAAAAAATGAATGATGAAAACATGAACATTTATTTCTATACTGAATTGTTGTTTTTAATGTTTTAGTTGAATGATACTCTGCCCTGGAATCTTCCATTTCTTGTTTTTCTATTATCCAGGTACCAGTGTCATCTTGAATGGGCTAAATGCCTAATGAGAGAGCAAGGACTTGATGATTGTTCCATTAACAAAATTATTGAAAATTATACCAAACCATTTAATCTGCCCTTTGTGAAAGGGGATGGAGAAGTTGCACAAAATGATGACTCTTACTGCAGAGTGGCTGCAGAAATGGAAAATGTAGATGATGGAATGAAACTTCCAAGAGGTTCTGCCGTAAATAATAGAGATTCAGCGGCACCAAACATTGATTGTCATAACAAGAGTCCAGATGGCAAGAAAACTTGTTTGGAAAGTGATTCAGTTTACACTGATCCATTAGCTAAGCATGGATCTGAGGAATTATATGCACTAGACACTAAAGTTAAAATGCATTGCCAAAGCCAGGATAATATTATTGTGCGTTGTGGCTGCAAGGCTGAAGAGTATGCCAACCAAGTATTTTGTGACTTGGAGAAAGGGAAAGAAGATGCTTATGAGTATATATTGGTTCAAGAGGAAGAAATCAAATTGTGCCCTGAAGACAAAGCAGTAAATGATCAATCAGATGTAAGCCAACGAAATTATTTTTTCCTGAATAACTTATATTGATTGAATTTACTAAAATAAAATATTATTTACACAATTGATTATTGTTGTCAATTTAAATGTTTATCTAGTAAATAAATCACTTTTAAATGTTTAATGAAAAGCTAAGGTAAAATCTTAATTGTTTGAAAATTTTCATTTGAATGCAGCATAGATTTCCTTTTACTTTGGTTGCTTCTTTATAATTTTGTTGTTCTACTTTTTTAGCTAATCAAACGGGAAAAATTAGTATGCAGAAGAAATCCATTTAGGATTTTTGAATATTTGCAACTCAGCCTAGAGGAGGTATGTTTAAATATTGCAAAACTTCTTTTTCCCTAACGTCAGAATGAAGCACTAATCTATGCAATAAATACATCTTTCTTAAAAAATATGCTTTTTTTTAAATCCAAATGTTTGCACTGGTTTTGGTAAATTTACTAATATTTTTAATGATCTGCAGATTACATAGAAAGACATTCAAGGGGCCATTCCTGCAAGTTTTACACAGATGAATAATCCTATTTACCTCACATTATTAAGGGCTGCAGAAAGAGACCCATAATTTTCCCATACAATTCTGTATCTAGTCTTTCTTCCAAAATATTTATACACATTGCTTTTAATTAGAATACAGTATATGCATATGCTGCTTTCCTGTGAGTAAAATTCCAATTTATGCTGATTTATTTTAATGGTCCCAATGACATTTTTCAAAGGGGATTCTCTGGGAATGCCTCACTTGGTGGCTTTCATATTTCTTTTATGCAATAATCCTGGAGTTCGTTGTAATATGTAAATCTTATAACTACAGGACTCCATGTGATCCAGACATACTATTTTAACTTATTCTTTTTATGTTTTTAGGCATTTTTCTTGGTTTATGCGCTAGGATGTTTGAGTATTTATTATAATGAGGTAAGATGTTACATTTAGTCATCTGTGACTTGTTCTGAGAGTTGCAAAATACTATTTATTTGGATGTAGATTAGGGTGGGGAGCAAGATGTGGCCCACAGGCCGGATCTAGCCCACCATGCCACCGGATCTGGCCTGTGGCTGTCTGTTGGGACCCTTATGTACAGAGCAGCTTGTGCTGCTTTAAACAACTATCTGCACCCTGCTCTGGATGCTGAGGAGTGAGGGAGGAGGCTTCACATGCTATCCTGCTCCCCAGAAAAATCTCTCAGCTCTGTTGGCTGGTTTCCAGCCAATAGGAGCTGAAAAATTTTGCTGGTAATGAGGGTACCATGCAAAGCCTCCTCTTCTCCCTTCCCCCCCCATGCCTGGAGCAGAGCCACATGTAGCAACCAGCCTGGGTCTACAGTAGACAGGCAGAGAGCCTGCCTCAGGGTCCTGCAGGGCTGCTGGCTGGGAGCCATCTAAGTAAGTGCCTCCTACCCAGAGCTTTCGTCGGGCACCCATCCTCCTCTATCCCCTCAACTGCCTGCTCAGGTCACCTCCCAAATGTTATGTACCCCACCTCCAGGTCACAGCTCCTTCCCAAACACTGCACTCTCTTTTACACCCTTCCCCCCAGGCCAGAATCCTCTCCTGCACCCATATCCCCAACCCTGCACCCCATTCCTTTACTCCAGGTCCCCACCCAAACCCTCTGAACCTCCTTTTCCCCCTTCTGCCAGGTCATAGCTCTCTCCCACATCTTGTACTCCCTCCTGCCCCCCCTCCCCTAGGCCAGAATCCTCTTCTGCACAAATAACCCCTCCTGGACCCTGCACCCCAAGTCCCTGCCCTAGATGACAACTCTGTCCTTCACCCAAACTCCCTCTCAGACCTCACACGCTGTCCTGCACCCCAGTCTCCTGCTGCAAGCTCCCTTCTGCACCCAACCTGTATCCCATACCCCACACCCCCACCATAGAAAAGTGCAGGGACTTACCAAAATCTTGGAGTGATTTCCCCATAAAGAATTATTGCCCGTCCCTGTTGTAGATCATTGTCTCAAACTTCCAACTAATATGACAGACTCATATGCTGCTAATCTCAAAGTCCATATATACCAGCTGGAGGGGAATGGAACTTTTCCCTTAAATAGTTGTGTGTTTCTATTATTTGTGTAAATATAAGAATATTGTGAATAAACTTTTTTATTGCTTTCTATTTACCAGAATAAATACAGATAAACAGATACCTTAAGTGGAAGAAAGTTTGGGTGGAATTGGTGGGAAAAATACAAGTCAAAAGGAGTGTGTGGGAAGAAATGTGTAGAGGAATTTCCTTCCCTTTCATGAAAAAGTTTGTAGTTTGGATTGTAAGCATTCTTTCATAATAAAATCTAGTTTTTATTTTTCTTCACATATATCAGCCAGGGTTCTCAGGCTCAGGTCCTGTGCTACCAGTATGTGATCTAGCAGAACTCCACTAGCTCAAAGGCACGATTGGTTGGTGAAGGTAGGGTTTGGGGAGGCCAGCTCCCAACCTTACCGCCAGCCCCACCCTTTTTGCTGAGACCCCACCCATGATGCCTCCCAACCACAGGGAGGGGAGTAGGTGGGTGCATAATCTGCCCAGCACCGAGCAGGGAGTAGAGCATGTGGCCTAGCACCGGGGGAGGGAGGAGAGCGCACTACATGGCTCTGTCCCAAGGGAGGGAGGTGGCAGGCGCACTCTGTGGCCCAGATTCTCCGGCACCAGGGGGGAGAGGAGGATGCACTGCACAGACACAGCCCCAGAGCACTGGGAGGGTAGGCTCTGGAGGCAGCAACACTCAGTCTCCAAAATACCTATAGTAGGTGTTCTGGGGGTGAAGTGTGGGTGGGGCCAGGCCTAGTGGTTTGGGAAGGCAAAGCTTTCCCCTTCCTAGGCTACCAGACGCCCATGCTTAAAGGGTTTTTTTCTTGGTATTGATTGTTAAATCACTATTGAAGCTGTGTTCTGTTGAAACACTAGCACTGTGGGAGTCTCTTGTCTGCAAGGATAGTCTTTTAGCGATGGGATTCTGTTTGATACTTGAATGGAATATTCTACTTAAAGACGCTGTTTTATGTACAATGTTTCCTTGGTATTTTCCTATTAGTAATAGCAGCAGGTTGTAATGTTACTGTACTAATATTAATGACTTCGTGATTTTAGGAACCTTTAACTATTTTGAAGTTATGGGAAGTTTTTAGTGAAGTGCAACCTAATTTTAGAACGACATACATGGCATATCACTACTTCCGAAGTAAGGGTTGGGTCCCCAAAGTAGGACTGAAGTATGGAACTGATCTCTGTGAGTATTTTTCCTTTTAAGAAATTGAGTAGTTTGCAACTAAAACTTTAATGATCAGTGCACCACTTAAACTTTGATACTTGCGGCTGTGCAAGCTCTGCTCCTGTGTGTAATGACTCTCCATGCTAGTTAGGCTATAGGCTAGCAAATTAAGGCATTAATGCAGGCAGAGGCTATGATCTGCCTCTGTGCAGATTCATTGGTCCCAAAACAGTTTATAAGTAGTTTTGGCCTATATGCTTGATAATAGCTGTGGAATTGCGCTGGAATTCACCTCATGAACTCCTCCACCTACTCCCAAGAGAAGCCCAACTGGAGTTAATGAGTATTTGGAGTAGTGACCTTTCTCTGTTCTCACAGTCTCATCCAATTCCTGTTGAATTCTGTGGAAAACTTTCCATCAAATTCAGCATATCTTGGATTGGAGCATATACTGAATTTGTAATTCAAATAATTTAATTTTGTTTCCTTCTGCTTTCTCTCCTGTGCGCCACTGCCAACCTGGACATATTCAGTAGTGTCTCTTCCTTGTAAATATCTTAAGAATCACTAAGTATTAATTTCTTGAGTACAGTTTATATATTTTGAAATGAGTGATGGTATAATTTATCCTCTAATAGAAAAATGTAGAATGATGGCAAACCATGAGCAAAAGCATGTCTGTATAAAATAGCAGAATGATTTTTTTTTTTGTTTCATTGAGATGAAACTACTATAATACTCTTAGGAATGTTTTTGTGTGTGCAGTAAGAGTTAACATGCACTTCGTATGGTATGGAAATTGTGTCTGAATGCACTTTCTTCACTGTCAACCATTATCATAGTTGAAATGCTGGCATGTTGTTTGAAAGCTTATTGATCTAAATTTTTGTTTTTTTTCTACTTTTATACAACAGTGGTTCTTGACATATACCATGCAATTAAATAGGATCAGCTGGAGTTTGTTAAAAGGGCTCAGCCTCTCTCTGGTTCTGCAATAGCTTGTTTATGTAATGGGTATGCTTATTAGTTATTTATAAGGGTTCTGATCTCTGATATTGAGACACAAAATGATTCTCTGACTAATATGGTATTTCTTTCTTCTTGTAGTGCTATATCGAAAAGGTCCTCCTTTTTACCATGCAAGGTTTGGCGTTCACTTTATATTCTGAATATAAAACATTCTCCATTTGAGTAGTGTGATTTAACTTCTATTTTTGTTTCAAATGAATGAAATATTCTTTCTCTCCTACCCTCTTTTTACTGGGATATATTTCTCCTAATAAAAATACAATTTTTCCTGCCTTGTACCTTCTATACCCAAAATAAAATTCTCTCACCAGGAAAGTTTACCATGTATGATAAGCAAATACATTTTAGTAGAAGCTCAAAACAAGTATGAGTTCATATACAAGTAGTTAAGAATATAAATGAAAACTGAAGAACATCTCCCTGGGCATCTCTAGATGTCATATGTGCTGAGTGGAATCAGAGAAATAATTTGATTTTCATAGTACTGTGTTTTTTATTAAGGATAATGTAGGTGTTTTGGGGGGTAACCCAGGAAAAAAGCCTATAACTCGATTTATCTCCATCCTCTGCCTATTAAATTGCATGCCTAGTTATTGGTGTGAATGAACGATGGACACTTTCAAGAGAACGCTGTTGAAAATAGAAGCAGGATGGTGGAGTGAGGTAGGCAGGGCTGTCTCTAGTGGTATGCAAGGGCCTGGGACATAGAAACCAAGTTTCTAGTTTGCTGGGGTTGTTCCTCCCAACTCTGCCCTGGTCCCATCTCCACTCCATCCCTTCTCCCTAGACCCTTTCTTCACCTTGTTTCTTCCTATCCCTGCTCTGCCCCATCTCTTCCCCGCCCGTTTCTCCCTCTCTCAAGCTTGCTGTGCTCTCCTGTTCCTTTCCCTTCCTCCCCCTGTGCCTCCTGATGCTGCAAAATATGTGATCAGCAGTAGGCACTGGGAGGGAGGAAGAGGCATTGGCCATTGGGCAGGAGGTGGAGAAGATTCTGGTAGGAGGCTACTAGTGGCTGCTCAGCACCCACCATTTTTTTTTCTTGTGCCACCTGCCTGCTGCTTTCCTCCCATTTTGCTGCCTTCTCACCACCTCCCACCTGCCTCACCTCTCCACAGGGCCCCATCCCAAAATGTGATGCCCAGGGTGATCACCCCAATTTGCCATACTCAAGGGATGGCTCTGGAGGGAGAAGCAGTAGGGAGAGGAGCCATCATTCACTGCCTCTACCCAGTGCTCTATTTGTAATGAAAGAGGTAGTGGGGTTCAAGCATTGTTTTACTTTCATAACTGACATGGCAAGCCCAGAAATGCCACAGGGGCTCTGTGCTGGGAAAGCCTGGCACATAACTACTACATCCATCTCTTCCTTCTTGACTAATAGAAACAGGGTGCAGATCTTATGGCTTGTCTCCAGCCCATGAGTTTGTTGGCTAGTTACAATAGCCAGATATTCTCGGGCTGCAGTTTTTAAATTACAGGATTTTTAACTTTCTCTTGGCAAACTGCCCTTTTGGGTTTATTTTCCAGTTACTCGGTTATTGCTGAACTGGTTAATGACAACTTTGAAGGGTCTCTGCACAGACCACTCAACTGGATGTCTTTGTCTGGCTTGAACAGAACAACAATGAATGTGTCCAAGGTAGTAACATAAGATACTGACTCTGCATCTAGAAATACTTTTAACTGGTAATATTGTAGTTTAGCTTGGAGATTTTTGTGGAAAAGTGACACTGGACTTGGATCACTATTTGGGTTCTACGCATGATTGCTTCATCTTTAGGCTGGGTGTGTGTGGAAAGCACCGTGTGGTGGTGGTTGAATACATCCTTCCCTGGCCAATATTTGTAGCAATGTTGATAGGTTCTGGAGGGATCCACATCTAGGTCATCTTGTTTGTAGTGGGAGAGTCACACTGTTGCAGACTCTCTTTGAAAGTTATGGGGGGAAACAAAGGGGCGGGAAATGGGGTAAGTCTTGGAGTGACATTGCTTTTCAAACTTCCTTCTGGCTCCATCCCCCTGCTCAAAGTGTTTTGGAAGTGCAAACTTTTCAAAGATTACAAGTTCTTCATGATCTGGCTGTATACATAATTCTACTATGCCAGATACTAGGGTATTGTGAGGGGGTACACTCACCACCGTAACCCCCTTGCCGTCTGTCCTCAGGAATTGGCCCCCTCAGCGGGTAGGGTGCCTTCTGTGGGGTGGTGTCTCCCCTCTTTACTCCCGGCTGCGGCGTCCTCTTCGCCACACTGCCCTCCGGCAGTGCCCAAGTCTGTCTCTGAGCCCCCCTTCCGGGGGTTGATGTTCCTCCATCGGGCCTTCTTTCAAGCCCTCCAGTCTGAGGATTTGCTGGCCAGAGCTCCCCTAGCCCTGCCTGGCCTCCCCAGCCCTGCCCTAGCTCCAGGGAGCCTCCTCCTCCTCCCTCAGCAGCCAGGTCTTCACTGCTTCCCCTTCACAGCAGCAGCCCATTCTCTATTATAGCGCCCAGCTGGGCCCTAATGGGCTAGTACAGCCTCAGCTGGGCTAAATTCCCCGGCCCTGGTTCAGGCCGGGGTCTGCCCTTAAAGGGCCAGTGCAGGGCGAGCGCCCTGTCACACATATCCAGGTGTCACATGAATAGTAAGGTCTGCCTCAAGGCAGATACACAAATGGGTGTGTTCTCTCCTTAGCGTGACCTAGTTCCCATTAACAAGCCTTATGTAAGTGTATATACCTCTTAATTTGCCTAAGAGATGAGATATGTTGTTTGAATTAAACCACTATAATTCTAATTTAAAACCTCTTTTTAAAAAATCAAGTGAAGCTCCTATATTTGCCTCACAAGGAATATTTATGGATTTATTTTTCAACAGGAACTTATGTTATGCTATTTGATTAGATCATGTGATATGACTGACAAAGAAATGTCATCACCAGAATGTCTGAAAAGAATTAAAGTTCAAGTAAGTTGTTCTCCAAATTATTTCTTAATCTTTGATAACTGAGCAATCGTTTGAGGCAGTTGAAAATTATTTCTTAATCTTTGATAACTGAGGAATCATTTGAGGACATCCAGGTCTCTAGCAGCACACTTGACTTTTCGTGCATCTGACATGCTTCAGATTCTGGGAGATCAGACTGATGTTGAACATCCTAGATTCTGCTACACCCCAGAGCCAATAGAAAGTCATTGGACGCCAGGCCTGGCACACAGATAGCTAGTCCCAAAGTTAATCTTTAAATGTAGGTTGGGGACACCAAGAATTGCTGCTAAGGAGTATTGATTGGCACGATGGGAGTAGGTTTTGGAGGCTGTAGAGTTAGTTTGGGTAAGTTATTGCAAGAGGCACCCTAAAAGGGCAAATATTCCTACTTGGTCTCCTTGATGACAAGAACGTTTCATTTACACAAAGATTTGATAGACATGGATGTTGGAAGATACCTTTTTAAATAATAGTAATAGTCCCATGTTTCTGTTTCAGGAATTGATTGTAAGTCGGTGGGTCTCTTCCCGTGAGCGCAGTGAACAAGATGAATAATAATAAGATGGACCAAGAAATCCAGTGTTAAAGAAGCAAATATTATAAACAAATTAGGTTGAGAGAAGTTTAATCTTTACTTGACTAAAGAGCCATGTGGTATTCCTGTTTAAAATACTCTCGATGCTATTTAATATTGTACGGAACATGAAATATTCTGTGTACTATCAGAAAAGGTTGTACTGAAAAAAATAGTAAATCTTTCCCCAGTCCAACATCCATTGGTATTCCTATAGAATTTCTGAATATGTTGCTATCAAAGCTAACTGCACTGCACTGACTTGCTAACAGTAAAATATGTAACAAATGCACATATATTAGGACTTTGCTCTAGTCACTAGACTGCATGCTATGGACATTTGGAGCCTCATAGGCACTGTATAAACTCTGATCTCCATGCTCTAAAAACACAGGCCTTTGGTGCTTGAATTGAGCGTGTGTTAGCACCAGTGTTCCCTTTAAGATTTTCCATCCGTGAGCAGCATGAGTTTTGCCTTGAGCCAACAATGAGGTCGTGTGCACTCGTTCGGCTGTGTGCTGCTGTTGCACCCACTAGTGGACTGCTCCCCAAGAGACTCTCCTAGGTAGCGCCCCCCACCTCATGGGGAGACAGTGAGATGCCCTCCACCCCAGGAGAAAGCTGCTCCCTGGCAGCCTGCGTGCAGAGCCCCAGGCTGCTCCTCACGGGGCTGGCTGAGAGTCCCTATGTGGGGCAGAGTGAAGCTGCTACCAGCACCCAGGTTTTGAAGAGAATGAAGTGCTGGGAGTGGGATACTGACGTGGGTATGGGACAGAGGGTTGAGGTGCAGGGGGCTTTGAGGGGCAAGAGAAGCAGGAAGCCCCAGAAGCAGCCACACCACAGCCCAGGGAGCAGACAGGAAGTCACTATGTGGCCCTGAATACAGCTCCAGCACTGGAGACAAAGCAGACACTGGAAGTATCGGGTGTGCTTGGTTTGGAAAACAGTAATGGATGCTTACGTGGGTTCCTCTCCATGCCCACGTCCCGTAAGTCATTCCTACAGTGGGGACACAGCCCCTCGACTTCTCAACATTGTGTGCCCAGAACTTGAACTAAGTAAATTGGATCTAATCCACATCCAGCCCACTTAATTAGCTTTATTAACAGGGATCCTACAATTGACAGGTACTTCTTTTGATCCATCTATCTATCTAGGTTTCTGTTATTTCTTCTCCAATTCATCTGATGAAAGCTCATGATTCTATATGTTTTGGTTAGTCTTTAAGGTGCCACAGGAACACTCATAGTCTGTAACTTCTAAAACAAACACAGCTACCCCCTAAGATTCCTGGAAAATAGTCCTAGAGAGAGAGAGGAGTATGACTTTATTCTAGCTATCTTTGCAACATTAGTTAAAATAAGAAGGTACAATATAATATTTACAATAGTACTATACTTTGTTATTGGAAGAAAAAATATATAATTATCAATACTTGATTTTAGATTTACAAAATAGAGAACAAAATGTATAATTGTAAATGCTTCATTTGACATTTAAATAGCATGAATTAAAAACAGACCATTTATTTGATAACTATAAACATGTGATTTTAATTTTATATATTTCATAATTTAAAAATAAACTTTAACAGGAGTGTATAAGGGCTGGGGATAGCAAGTGATGGACAGGAGAATAGAGGGGGCGAGGCTTCAAGGAAGGGGCGGGGCGGTAGATCTTCACCTGTTCTGAGACTTAAAAAGTGATCTTGGGTGTAAAAAGGTTGGAGACCACTGGGCTAGCCTTTAGTCACAGGGCCCAGCTCCCACTCAGAGCTGTCCAAGGTTCTGGTGTTCCCCATCAGCCCAGAGATCTGCCTGGGTTGAGCTCCAAGAAGAAACTGACAGGCCTTAGCTAGTAGTTCCTTATATAGCAGCCTGCCGCATCCTGATTAGCTGCAGTAAAGGCTGCCCCTCTACCCTGCTCAGAGGACCTCTCCACTGCTCCTGCTGCTGGCCAGAGTGCTGAAAGGCCTCCAGTGGGAAGGTCAGGCTTTGTCCACCCCATCACATCTCCATGAATCTATCTAGCTGTTTTATGAACCCAGTTAAAGTTTTAGCCTTTACCGCATCCTGTGGCAAGGAGTTCCACAGGTTGACTGTGCACTGACTGAAGAAAAACTTCCTTGTGTTTGTTTTAAATCTGCTGCCTGTTAATTTCATTTGGTGACCCCTAGTTCTTATATTGTGGGAATAAGTAAATAACTTTTCCTTATTCACTTTTTCCATACTAGTCATGATTTGATAGACCTCTATCATATTCCCGCTTAGTCTCCTCTTTTCTAATCTGAAAAGTCCAAGTCTTTTTAATCTCTCTTCATATGGGAACTGTTCCAAATCCCTAATAATTTTTTTGCCCTTTTCTGAATCTTTTCCAATGCCAATATATCTTCCCCACAATATTCTTGCCAGCAAGTTAAGGGAATGTGGATTAGATAAATGGACAGTAAAATGGATAGAAAGCTGCCTAGAAGGCCGGGTCCAGCGGGTAGTGATAAACAGCTTGGTGTCAGGATGGCGGTCGGTTTCTAGCGGAGTGCCCCAAGGATTGATTCTAGGATCGGTTTTGTTTAACATCTTTATTAATGACCTGGATAAGGGGATGGATTGCACCCTCAGCAAGTCTGCAGCTAACACTAAGCTAGGGAGAGAGGTAGATACATTGGAGGGCAGGGATAGGGTCCAGAGTGACCTAGACAGATTAGAGGATTGGGGCAAAAGAAATCTGATGAG